CATATATGGTAATTGATTGGATTAAGGACCAGGAAAGCTTGTACCATATTTGTCACCGGGAAGCCTTCTTCTAGTTGTATACTAGACATAACCCATGTCACCTGCGTTGGCTTTTCTGTAGGATATATACTAGTTAATAAAAAGCCTTTTCTTGTAACGTAGTCTGAATGTATTGACCCTCTTATCGGCGGCCAGGCTGCTGATGGGCATCCCTATGAGGAAGAACATCTAGCCTGTGCTAAAGGCATTGCACTGGCTGCCTATAACATACCGGATTCCAAGGTGCTGTTTTTGACCTTTAAAGCCCTATATGGCCTGGGGCCTGCCTACCTGAAGGACCACCATTCCCCACATGTCCCCCAAAGAGCACTGAGGTCAGGGTCACAAAATCATTTGGCCCTCCCTGGACCGAAAGATGCCAGACTGGCCTCTACCAGGGCGAGGGCCTTCTCAGCGGTGGCTCCACACTGGTGGAATGAGCTCCCGGAGGACATCAGGGCCCTGCAGGACCTTTTACAGTTCCGTGGGGCCTGTAAAACGGAGCTCTTCCACCAGGCTTTCGACTAGGAGTCGCCACTAATAACATCAATTATAGTACTAACATCAACTAACATTAACTGAACTGGAGAATGTGAACTAACTATGCTGGACGCCGACGGAATCCATTTTTTGAGAACATCTATCATGGCCACCAGGTTGTTATTGTCACCAGCACTTTATTTTCATTTTATTCTATTTTATTGTTGAGCTATGCTTGTCATGTTTGTGTTTTAATGTTTTAACCCTTATTGTAAGCTGCCCTGAGCCTGCCTGTGGCGGGGAGGGCAGGATAAAAATAGAATAATAAATAAATAAATACCTAGCTTGCTTGGATAATCTCATGCACAGATGTACGTGAGTCAGCCTTCTGGTGACTCAAGGCATTAGTATGATTTGGAGAAAGCAGAGAAACTGGGGTACCTTGAGTGGCGGAAGGGATGCCCCAATATCTCAGAGAGAGGGTTTGGAGAAGATGTGGTTTCTCAAAAGCAGTTGGAACCCCTGACAAACAGCATCTCAGGAAACTGAGTTCTCTTGGCCAATTGCTGTCTCGGAGCAGATGAGGGGGAGGCAAGAAGGTGAGGAAACCCGTAGGGATTGTGATAGGACCCAGCTTGTGTTCCCAGCTCCCCATGGAGCTGAAGAGCCCACTGTCTTTAGAACCTCTTAGGAGTCACAGTAAGGTCATTTTACCTGTGATGGCTTTTCATGGTGTTTAAGCTCCAGGCATTTTCTTTAGATTGGGGATAAATAGGACTTCATTATATCTGTTATGGGTTTGTTGGTTGGTTTTACTTTATTGGGGGGGGGAGACTGTAAGTTGCCTTGAGCCCAGGGGTCATTTCCCGTGGGAGCGCACAGGAGCGGAGCTCGAGCAGTAAAGAGCCAAGGGGGCGGGCACATGCAACAAGCCCCACCCCCTGCTCCCAGCAGCCCTCAGTCAGAGCAAGAAGCAGCCAGGTAAGTTGCAAAGCCAAAACAGTCCATTGGCACCTTTAAGACCAAGTTTTATTCAGGTACAAGCTCTCCTTTCTCTGCGAGGACAAATCTGCATGTCCCCCCCCCCAATAGCTAGCAATCCAAAACAGTCCAGTGGATCCTGAGTGGTGGGTGTTGCCTTCTGACACACTTCTGGTGATGTCAGGGGGCGTGGCATATGCAAATGAGTCATGCTAATGAGCTCCTGCACCTCTTTTTCTACGAAATGACCCCTGCTTGAGCCACAAGAGAAAGTGAGGACATATTAGAATGCTTATAGGTGAGTGTTTGCCAGAAAGGTTTAATGGCAGTGAAGAGAATGGAAACAGCCAGGACCTTTGTCTATGTTGTACACAACTGCTCTTCAAAATGTTAGTGTGCTACCCTGGTTTTGGGAGGGAATGTGGCATGGTATAGCCCTGTCTCACCAGATCTCAAAAGCTAAGCATGGCTAGCACTTGGATGGGGGACCTCCAAGGAAGACTCTGCAGAGGAAGGCAATGGTGAACCACCTCTGCTTCTCACTAGCCTTGAAAGACCCTTGCTGGTATCACTATAAATTTGTTGTAACTTGACAGCATTTACATATGTATGCACCATGGTTTCTTTTAATGAATATTTTAATTTTACATGCCTTTTTCTGCAGAGAGAACTATAAAATTAGAGACATGTTATACTTCATTCACAATAAAGTGTAAGGGGGAAATCCCTCTGATATTGTGTGAAAACTGCCACCATGTAAATACACTTGTGAAAATTCCCACTGTCAGGACACACAATATTCTCCCCAAACATCACTGGCATGTATCCATTGAGGTAGAAGAAACTCAAAGCAGAAAATCTGTTGAATAAGGTAAGACAATGGGGAACTTGATATAAATTACTCAAAACTGAATTTAGTAAAACTAACAGAATCCTTAGCTCATGTACAGCCAACTCCCCCCCCCCCAGTCATCTGTACGGTCTGGGTCTCAAAATCGCTTGACCCTCCCTGGCCCAAGGGAGGCCAGGCTAGCTGCCACTAGGGCTGGGGCCTTTTCGGTGGTGGCCCCTACCTGGTGGAACGAGCTCCCGGAGGAGATCAGGGCCCTGCGGGACCTCTCACAGTTCCGCAGGGCCTGCAAGACAGAGCTTTCCCACCAGGCATACAATTAGGGGCCACTGTTGTAGCGCACGGCCAACAATGTCATCATCGAGCAGCTGCCATAAGAGTTGACAAACAGAATAACATCTAAGTACTTCTATGCTGGAAGTTGGAAATCCATTTGAAAGCATTCCATCTGACTGAATTTTTAACTGCTGCTAGCACTTTGTAATGTATCACTTTGTGATGTATTATTTTAACTGTGATGTTTTAATTACATATTATGCATGTTTTTATTTTGTATTTATATTATTGGAAGCTGCCCTGAGCCTGCTTTGCGGGGAGGGCGGGGTATAAATTTGACAATAAATAAATAAATACATTGTGCCATAAAGTGTATGCGTGGAAATACTGGTCAACATCCCTCAATCAAGGTCCAGTGAGTGGAATCCTAAAACCTCTTTCTCTTTTTCCCTTTCCCACTCCCAGCAGAGTACTCAAGTCTTTCAAAACTGTAAATGCAGCACGTTTTCCTAGATGCAGCACTTAAAATACCTTTCCAGAAAAGAAAGCTTCAGAAAGCACCTGCATATCAAATAAAGAAGGGATTACCATAATTCTACAGGGAGGTTTTAGGCCTCAAACCTGCCAAGAAGCCTTCTACTTCTTAATTCTAATTGCATAGTGATAGAGACATTCTGGGCATATACTTTTCTTTGGAATTATTACACATATTGCAGAAATCTGCTCTGGAGTCTCAAGCTGATTACGAAACCATTTTCTGGTACACCTTGTTATTAAGGTTGCCAGCCGGTGGGAGACAAGGGCCTGGGGGCATAGGTGCCATCGGTGAACCTGGAAGTGATATCATTGAGTTGATGCAACACTCATATATTCACCAGAAATGTTCTTTTACCATTTTTTTTAACCAATCTTACAGCATTACAACACAATTATGTCACTTCCAGGTTCAACTATGATTTTCAGTATATATATTTTTTTATTTCCTCTGCTACCCTACCAAGTGGTAGCACGGGTTAGAGGCTGTTGCTGGGAGGTCTTCCACTATAGCAGAAGCCCTGCTTATTGCAAAGTAAACACTTATAATTTCAATATAAATAAATGTCCTCAGGAATTTTTCTTATAAATTACAAACAGGGCTATGCCAGATGATGTCTGGCAAGAGTTTTCACTGTGAAAAAAAAAATATTCAATTGGGATGAATAATTTACTTCAATTTAAATGTCAGTGTTTTAATTTCTTTGTTTTAAAAGGCCTTAATTTTAGATAATGCCAATTTAAGCTTAAACTAAAGTGGACTTTAAAATATTACAGTTCTTAGAACTTAGAATAAAGGTGGGTATAAGTTTGAAAGTGGTACTAAGTTTCTTGTTTGTGTTTTGCTTTGTCGTTGGCTTTCCTCAGGTCATTTGATGGGTAAGGGGCAACAGTGAGTATTAGGCAAAATGTTGTTGCAGATTTCTGACGCTACCATATTCAGTTCTTTACCACAGATCCCAGCATCATACAATCTCTTTCTGCCAGTCTTACCATGTTATAGTACTTTTAAGCAGAACGTAAACCTCCCCCCCCCCCGCAGTTTTGCTTGATTTACTTGGTGTCATGAGTTTGGGTAATGCACAAATCATCAATCTGAACCTTTCAGATCACAGCAAAGGTGTATCATATGGAGACAGTCTATATGGTGACTCATCCACATGCAAACTAGTTCCATGTTTACCTGCTAACATATAAATCTGATCTGCAAATAGTTTGTTTCCGTATTGGATTCAACACTCTTGGAGTTCGCTTGAAGGCAAACCATGACGTGGGGGAACTGTCTTACTCTTTGATGAAGCTGCCAGATGGGGACATTTAATTGGCCTCTATCAGGCAGCCACACCACTGAAAGCATGCCATGTAAAAACAGCATGGCAATTCCCTGTTTCCCCCCCCTAAAGACAATACGCTTACTGTAGAACAGCTAGATTCGAGTCCAGTAGCACCTTAGAGATCTCCAGTATTTGGAGAGGGTATGAGCTTTTCAAAGCTCATACTCCCAAAATAATGTTTGTCTATAAGGTGCTACTGGTCTCGAAGGTGCTACTCTCTGAAACTTTACTTCTCCTACTATGCCGGAGAAGTCCTCACTCGACCTAGCCCTATGACTTACCAGCATTAACTGCCTCTAATACTACAGCCATATGTAAAGGCAAGACTTCCATTCCCTCCATTTAACAGACCCTGGATATAGGTGTCCTCATTTTCCCTTTTACTTTCTTACGGAAACTTTTCTAGCCTTTCATTTTTTATGGCGTCAGAGAGAGAAAAGTTAGTGTGCAAGTGACACATCTGTGGCTGTCGACTAAATGGGCACAAGTAAAATAACATCCAATACCTCTATGAGTAACAACTGCAAGCTCTTTAGTTCTTTCTATCTGTTCAGCATTTCTTGGCCGTCTTCTTGTACTTTGGGTATGTGCTGATTGAAGGGAGAGCGACTCCTTGGAAGTGGCGAGCTCCAGATCAGATTTTCTGAGATTCACAGCTTGCACTCGCTGTTCTTCGGATATTCTAGGGCTGGTGACAGCAGTAACACTGGATACAGTAACATCAGCAGATGTGCTAGCAACAGTAAAATCACCAGCAGTAGCCGCAATATCCTCCTCTAACTCACCAGTGGAGGCAGTTTGGGTCAAAGTGGAAGAAGAACCTGTGGGATACATAGTAGCACTGGATGCTAACTTTTTTCTTTGGAATTGTGATTTTTTTTTCTCTGCTCAATTTAATCAGATAAAATTCCCTTCTGATTACCACATTCAAGACAACTGACTTGGCAACTCAATAGTCTGTTTGTTTTTTAAAAAGATAATATCTGCAGTTCTCAGAGAACATGCTTGCACATTAGTAAACATCATGTACCTATAACCATACAAATCACAAAGCACAGTTTAATGGAAAAGGTCACTCAAAATAATACAGTCCAACATTTTTGGGGGAAGTACCAGTAGGTCAGCAAGAAACTGGCATTCACTGCTCACTGTGAAGCTCATCTGATATGCCATTTTTATAGAAAAGTTATGGATAAAACCACATGACAAATTAAAGCAGACGTTTCATGAACTGTAAACAATAGTTCTAGCTTTGGAGAGGGGTTGTTTTTCTTAACAGAAATTCTTATTTTTCTTACAGACAGAACATTGCTTTAAAAATAATTATTGGTTTCAGAGTTATCTGTATTGAGGGAAGGATCCTAATAATTCAATTTTATGAAGAAACTGTTTATGTTATGTTATTAGCTACAGGTGACAAACCATTACGAAGCTGTAGTTTTAATGAAATAGTTCTCATACACAATTATATCTGATAAACAAAGCATTTGTTCTGTATGTGATGCATAATCCTTTACTCGCTCACTTTTTCAAAATTGCTTCCGAAAACATGCAATGGCTTTGGGAGGAAAATACACTGTCTAAAAGAGTAATAAAACATGCAATGAAATAATGAATAGATTTGTTGAATATTCCTTCCTTCCTGATGTGACTCCTGTGACTATACATACATAAAGTCTTGATCCAGTGCATTATACTGGGATTTTTTCTTCTAATTTGGATAATTTGGTAGACAGGTATGATAGCTACTCTGGTTTCATGTCAGCTGTCCCCTGACACCACCATAGACACAATTTAATGTGTTGTTTTTAACTGTCGTGCCCCGGGGTGGTTCCACACCCTGGAGGACTGCTAGCCGTGCTTGCAGAGGAGTCAGGAGGGAAGCGAGGGTCTCAGATATGAAAGAAGCCTGGAGTTCTGTCACTGCCAAAGCCTTCTTCCCCGGGGTGAACAGCTGATCCAACCTGTCTCTCTGAGTATCCAAGCCAGTTGCCACCGACATCCTTCCCGACTCTCGTCTGCTTCCCTCCTTTTATCCTCCTTCCCAACCCCTGTGACACCTCCCTTTCACCCTCCAGTGAAGTCATTGCTCCCTCAGCGTGCCAATCACCCCAGCCATTTTCCTTTAACTAAACCTAAATCGTTTCCTCCCAAGTGTAAAACAAGAATCTTTGGCGGTGGGCCGCTTTGATGGGGCGTTTTATGTAGATAGAGCTCTGCCCATGGGCTGTTCAGTTTCATGTGCCACTTTTGAGCGCTTTAGTTCCTTGCTGGAGTGGGCTGTTCGCATGTGCACTGGTTATGGCACGATTGTTTCGTTTTAGATGATTTTCTGTTTGTTGTTCCCTGTGGGTCTGGACAGTGTGAGAGGTTGATGGAGTCCTTCGCGGGACTGTCAGGCGAGCTCGGGGTGCCTTTAGCACACGAGAAAACTGAGGGTCCAGCACAGGTGCTTACATTCCTTGGTGTGGAGTTGGACTCGGTGGCACAGTCTTCTCGGCTGCCAGAGAGCAAGCTGGGGGACCCACGTAGCCATATTCTGGGATTCCTGAGTAAAAGGAAGGCTACTTTGAGGGAGCTGCAGCAGTTGACAGGGCACCTGAACTTTGCCTGCAGGATGGTAGCACCCAGACGGGCCTTTTTGTGCAGATTGTGCACTGCAATGGCTGGGCTGCGGCTCCCCCATCATCAGATAAGGATTACTGCAGGCATTCGACAGGACTTGGAGATATGGCTGGAGTTTTTATCCTCTTTTAATGACATCTCTTTCTGGAGGGAGAATCTCAGGCTGGAGGTGGAGCTTCAGGTTCACTCGGATGTGGCAGGATCTCGGGGTTTCGGTGTCTATTTCCATGGATGCTGGTGCGTGGAGGAGTCGCCGGCATCTTGGGTGGAGGAAGGGCTGACATCAGACTTGACATTTCCGGAATTTTTTCCTATACTGGTGGCAGTCCATCTATGGGGTGCTGAGTTGGCCAACCACACGGTGCACTTTTGGTGTGACAACTTTGTGGTTGTACAGGTTATCAACTCTCTATCATCTAGATCCCTGCGGGTCATGTGGCTGGTTAGAGATTTTACGCTTTGTTGCCTTCAGCTGAACATATTGTTTTTGGCCAGGCATGTACCGGGGGTTGACAATGGGGTGGCTGATGCTCTCTCTCGTAAACAGATGGAGAGGTTCCATCAGCTGGCCCTGGATTCTGATTCACAGCCAGTGCAGATGCTGGTAGTGCTTTGGTCGGTTGGAAGGCTGAGGTGAACAGGGCAATCACTCTAGCTGTAGCACCCAACACCAAGAGAGCTTACAACCGTGTGGTCGCTCAGTTTGCAAACTTTAGACGGGAGGTAGGGTATCCTGACTCTTGGCCTGTTCCTGTGGACCAATTGTTGCATTTTTGCATGGCATCAAAAGGTAAGGGCTTGGCAGTCAGCTCTATAAAGGGGGTGTTGTCCGTGATTGCCTTTAATTGCAAATCTAAGGGGTTGCTAGATCACACCGGGGATTTTCGGATACGCAAAATGTTGGAAGGTTGGTCACTTGAGGCTGGAGTACGGGTAGACTGTAGACAGCCTGTCTCTCCTGAAATTTTGTGTGGCCTGCAAGCTATTTGGAGAGTGGTATGCTCTTCCAATTTTGAAGCATCCCTATTTCACGCTGCTGCCCTAGTGGCTTTCTTTGGGGTGTTCCGGGTTAGCGAACTGGTCGCCCAATCAAAACGGGATACATCTGGCCGGGCCCTTCAGGTTCATGATGTGGAGTTAGAGGCTGTCAGGACCAAAATTGTATTGAGGAGTTCAAAAACTGACCAGCGCCAGCGAGGTTCTGTGGTAGAACTGGGTGCTTGCAGAGAAAAACAGCTATGTCCAGTTGCGGTTCTAGCATCATATTTAGCAGTTAGGGGCATGCATGAGGGTTTGCTTTTCCAACACCAGGATGGTACGCCCTTAACAAAGCACCAATTTTGGTCTGTGATTGCTAGGGCACTAGCGGGTTTGGGCCTCGCTGGGGTGCGTTTCGGTACCCATTCGTTCCGCATTGGCGCAGCTTCTACCACAGCAGCCATGGGATACCCAGCCAGGGATATTAAGAAGCTGGGCAGGTGGTGCTCGGGGGTCTTCTGGCCTTATGTGCGCCCTTTGTCAGGACACTAAATGCAGCTTGAGTAGTTGATGTTGGGTTCTTTTGCCCCTTGTTAACTGTTTTTTTAATTCCAGGTTTGTTTGCCTGGCAGGAGAGGAAGACAATTTTAATCTGCGAGCATAGTTTTGTTTTTTGGGCAGCACACCGCACCATACGGACACCGATCGACTCGCAGCTTGGTCTGAGTCAGTGGGCCACTGTTGAGTGGCGGGGCCATCGGGGCTTGCAGCGGCCGGGCCTTCTGCCCTTGTTATTTCAGGAAATGATCGGCCCACCGCCAAAGATTCTTGTTTTACACTTGGGAGGAAACAATTTAGGTTTAGTTAAAGGAAAAGCTTTAATAATTCAAGCAAGGGATGATTTCCAAACAATCAGGAGGCAATGGCTGGAGACCCTCTTAATTTGGTCAGCCATTGTATCTCGTAGAGTCTGGCATGGGGCGGCGAGCCCTTTGGCCATTGACAAGGTTCGCAGGAAGGCGAACAGAGAGTTACAAAGAAAGTTGGAAGGTGGTTTGGGCATTTTTCTGCCACATCCGAATATTCACCCAGGGCGGGCCGAGCTGTACCGACAGGATGGTGTCCACCTGTCTGACATGGGCATTGACATCTTTCTGGACAACCTACGGCAAGGGCTATGGGTGGCCTTGGGCCTCCCGATGGGCACAAAGGCCTAAGCTGAGGTTTGGCCTTGGTGATGGCAGGGTTCTAGGTGGTATACAGGTTGCAGTACGGTGAGCACCAGCTGACACCCATTCTTTTGGGTTGAAGGGGTCTTGTCAGTACAGCCTTTGTGCCTTGTGGCACGGGGTGTGGAAAACAGACTGCCTTTGAGACCACCCCGTTTGGGTCCTCCCTTTGAGCCTAGCGGCTTGGGGGTTGGGCTGCAGGGTTGTCCTGCAATGGCTAACCAGCTGTGCGGCAGCCACCGCTGATGGCTCCGGCCTGGGGTAAGGTGGCTCGCCCTATGTTGAAGTTAAGGAAGGGGTCTTTGACTCCTGGCCTTGACCATACCACTGAACTGTTTTGCCCTTGCCGTTGGTTTCCAGTTAAGTTGGTCAGTTAATAAAGTGGCCCAATATTTAAATCCAGCACCTGTGTCCACCTCTTTATTTCGTCTTGGGTGGCAAACCTATGTGAAGCTCTGTGCACAATTACTCAGTTATGGCATAGCTGATAAATTAATGACTACATTACGGCATAGCTGATAAATTAAAACAGCAGGATGTGGGGAAAACTGTAGCGTTAGTGGGGAAAATGTAACTTTGTGGTGAGAAACAGGGGTCACCTCTCCACACTAGCAGAACTTCTATTGTTTGTGCAGTAAGTCATGTACACTTTAACATCTGTTTTGTTCACCGAATAACAGCTGGCCAGAAGCCTGAATATTTTCCTACTTGGTCCTGAACAATGTCAAAGGTGCAGTATAATTAATTATACAGCAGAGACTTAAGTAAAGTTGTTCTAGACATATTGAGAATGTTTATAATGACCTATGGGGACCTTGACTTAACATCTGCTCCACAGTGCAACACTTCTCAACTTTGCAACAGAACTTTGCCCTGACTTTGTCAAAGGGAGCCCAGACTCCTGTTCAGGGACTGAGCCTCCAAACCTTTAAGGAGAACAGCAAAATTTATTATTTTAAATTAAGACAGTCTGTCAGCTTTGTTCATAA